CATTGAGTTATACAATCACCACAACCCCCCTGGTAAACTAATCGCGGCCAGCAGACACCAGACGCCCGGGTTCTGCTTTTCTTCCCTTCTGATCTGGTGGTGCAAATAGTATTTTAGAGTTTGCTTGCACCATGCGGTGCAAATAGTTTTTATTGATTATTTGCACCACCATTGTTAATAAGAAATGTGGTGTGAATAGTAGATGCTTTATTATTCGCACCACGGTGTAAATTGCGCTCCATATCCTATTTCCACCACAGTGGTGTAAAAAGTCACTCCGTTTCTGTAAATGGCGAGTGACGTTGGGCGCACGTTTAGGCCCATAGACACGTCGCGTGTGTCGGGAGCACGGATCCTTCATATCTGATACAACAAAGTAGGACCCATAAGCTAACACTTTAAGCCCGAGTCGCTCGCCCCAGTCCCACCGTGCGCGCAGTGCAGCGCCTACAAGATGGTCTACATATTTGGCGCCAAGGTTTTGCCAAACGAAAATCGCAATGCGATCCGGGTAAACCGATGCGCTCTAACGAAAGAGTCCGATCTGCTTTGCTGCTAAACTAAAAGAGTCCGATCTGCTTCGCTGCCAAACCAAAAGAGTTCGATCTGCTTCGCTGCCAAACCAAAAGAGTCCGATCTGCTTTTGGCGCTCGTACCGTCGACCGCTCCGCAGAAACACTGTGATATCTCGAAGCTTGAAAGGAAAAGTGTATGTATTTTAGGGTGTACATATTCGTAAAGGTTAGGGTAGCAAGCGAGTCTTTTTATTTTGTGTATATTCAAAATATCGAAGGAGTTATAGCCCTCCAAAGATGCCTAAGGTCCCATCGCCGAAAAGCTTCCAGAATGAAAATAATTTAGACAAGAAATGTTCAAGGTTGCATTTTAATTACAAGTTGCAAGGTCCAAGACCACACCAATATAAATACACATTAATTGCCTACACAAATTATTGTAAGATCAACTCATACTATGATCATAACCTCACACTACTTCAAGGGGCTTTACTTGGGAATCGGAATGCCTCTATAC